GTATTATTTGTAAAATAATATATTTTTTTTTTTTTATCAAATAAGCACAACAGTCAGTTAAAGGTAGGGTAGGCAATTTTTGCATAAACACTTAATGTTATTCAGGTTGAAACTCTCTTCACATCCTGATAGGAACAAATAACAGAAGTGGTTGTAATTTAACCCTTTAAAAAAAAAAGAAGAAAAAAAGAGAATAATTTTACATATATCTTCTATGGAAGTCTCAGGACCAAAAAAGTGTTCGTCCAATCATTGCATTTGGTCCGAATGAGTGCTTTGAGACATGAGGTAAATTAACGCCGCCCCTCATGTGTTTTGAAGGAGACGTGGCTTTGGAGACGCTCTGAAGGCACTGTGGGATCTAATGCTTTCAAAGCTAACTTGTTATTGCTAGCCTCTATGACATTGCCAGAGCTTAATTTGAGTCGGGACACGCCGAAACATGTTCCGTCATCTCCGACGTTGGATCCGGAACCTTTTTTATTGGATCTGGCACCTCCTGTGTCACAGTGGAAAATTAATTGCCTGTTGCTGTACTGTTCAATGTTCTCTTCTTTTTCATATGGGGTGCCAGAGACCCCTATGCTGAAAATATTAAAATAATATCAGTCATTTTGAAATAAGCCTTTAATAACTTTTTGTGTGTGTGTGTGTGTGTGTATTCAGACTTACAGTAGGCAGATTTACTTTGAGAATTAAATGTATCGTAGGCAATGTCCAGTGCTTAATTTGTAAAGTGGGAGGTCCAAATGGGTGTTTTAGAGACCTAGCTCAGATCTGTTATTTGTCTGCTTTGTTTTGGCAACGTACAGTACACTTTCAAACAGTGCAGTAACTCTTTGCCTGACAGAGACGTTCTGAGGACTTGTGATATTCCCTGAAGAAACTAACATACTGTAATTTCTTTTTTATGCTTCTTCTTAATCATTTTCAGCTTGAGACGACTATCAACTTCACATCTTTATCTGTGCGACACTCCAGTATAATTGCTCTCATATGAGTCATCAGAGGCTCTGGCAGTTTGTCATGCCATGTACTGTACCGCAAGAAACGCAAAATGGATAATTCTACAATTTATCCTGTAGTCATTTAATTAAGCAGCCCAAAATACTGGTTTACCAATGCTTCAATTATCACCTACAGAGTGACTGATTGCAAATTCTTACAAATTGACTAAATCATAACAAGAACTTTAAATTACTGATGTTCCTCATTGTAAGCTTTGGATAAAAGCATCTTCTAAACAAATCAATGTAAATGTAAAACACCTTTAATAAACTCATAAACATTAGGGCTGCCTCCTAACAACTGATCAAACGTTAGTCGACGAGAAGAGACTTAGCCCACCAAATTTATACCCTGTGAGTCTCAGAAAAAAAAGGCAAATGAAGACAGGCAGTAGGACGTTAATACGTGGTAATTATGTTGGGCAGGAAATCCTTACAATCACCAATCATTCGTCAACCTCAAATATGGCTTATCATTTGAAACATGTACTGTAGTAGCCTAACATTAGCCACTAACATAGCTGCTCTCTCTAACGTTAACCAAGATAAATGTGTGCTGTTATTAGGCGCATATCCAAGTGTTTGTGCATAAGCACATTTACAGTAGTACCACACTTACTGCATGATATTGAACTTAATGTGTATTTCTCTTAATTTGTGCGCTTGAGCACTTCATTTATATTTCTTCATTTACACATCAAAGGCTCATTATTATGGTTTTGTTAGCAAAGTTACACATTCTTTCTCAGCCCTGAAACTACAAACATTTACCGATGTATCAGCATATACAATTAAGTAATTAAATGAATATCATAAACATGCAACTAGTCGACTAATAGCTTAAATGGGTGATGAACTGAGAAATCAAAATTTCCTTGAGCTTTCGACATCTAAGAGGTCGTCATATTATAAAAATATCCTGTATGTTTCAGAACTGAAAACGTCCCTGTTAGTCTAATAAAAGCTTTTATTGACACCAGCCTCAACAAACGACTGGTTTTTCAAAGTGGGGAACTATGACGTCAAAGAGGATAAAACATCACCCCCGCAGAAGAAGATCAACGCCTACTTCAACACGGCCGGTTTAGCCCGCCCACCGATTCGCGCATTACACACATAGCTAAATAACATAGGCCTACCTTGTGATGACAAACCGGATCGAGCTACCGAGCAATACAAAATATTGTGCAGTGCCTGGTTGTGGAAGAAGACAGTCGCTGCATATGCTTCATCTGGATTCCAATAGGACTGCATGGATAAACTTTATTTTTAATGACGTTCCAGCTGATGAGGTAAAACATTGTCCGTCTAATCGCTTCATTTCACTGAGAATTCTTTTGTAAACAAGACTGGATTTGCAGACCGATTAAGAGTAAAGAACGGTGCTGTGCCGACTATATTGGATTTGACAGGAATGGTGCAACACAATGACTCTAGGTCGAACATGTATGGACGAATCATTCCGGTTGCCATTTTACAACATTAGACGTTTTCAAAACAATTTCCCCCAAGTGCATTGACGGGTGAGTTGAGACTCATTATAATATGCAAAACTGTTATCCACTCACAGCAGTGGGCGTTTAAATCCAAGTCTTTAGTGCGAGATGCCCATAAAAACCGAGCGTTTTTCAGCTAGGCTCAAAACTAGGGTACAAAATAGCCTATTAATTATTCATTTCGATGTTTTTGAATGCAAAAACCAAGCAAACATCATAAGTTGACCTCAGACAACAATATAATAAAATTTAAAAAGCCAATTCATGACCCCTTTAAAATAAACGACTAGTAGTCAATGAGAAAAATCTTTTTTCCGTGGGCAGCCCTAATACCTAGTGAGCTGCCAAGGCATTTTATAGTACCCATGAAATAGCAGTTTCCTGTCCTGTGTCGGCATATTTCAAACAGATAAATAAACTCTAGAAATCATCAATATTTATAAAGACTATTTAACTCCATATTACCCAAATTTTGAAGCCAACGTTGCAATTATGTGTTTTACGCAGTTTCTGCCTATGTAGAGCATTTCAAATCAGTCACATATTAGGTTATATTTTAGTTAGAAAGCTGTCTTTGTAGCTGCCTATGTTGGTAATAGTTAGACAACAAGGTAGCACACTTGATTTTAGAACAGAGCTCCCGTCTTCCCAACTTTGTAGAGGAAATATGATTTAATCCAGACATTATTATGCAGAAAAATCATAAAATCAACTTCTGTAAGTGTGTAAAGATTCATTAGTGATATAGCGGAGAGTCGGAGAAATCAAAAAAATCTAACTCATTACCATACCAATCTGCCCCCTGTGGACTGGAGCTAGCACATGTCCCTGTACCTCCTGACCTCTAAAGAAAAAGAATAGACGAAAAAAGGTTATCGGGAAAACATCCCCGCCTCCTGTACACTAAGAAAACCTCCTTTACAAAGTTTTATGGACAGGTTTGAAAGCCAAGGAGTGTAACTTTACCCTTAAGCTCTTAAGGTGAAATGTGAGTTTTGTAGGGGTATTCTGACTTTGTTTTCTACCGAGAAGTGAGTTTTATTTAAATTTTGGTGGGTGTTTTTCCAGATTTCTAGTGGTCAAAAGGATTTCAGTGAGTGATTTTGAAGCAGTTGTAAACTACAGCTCCCTTGTGCACGAATCATAAAACTTTAAAAGGCCCTGTAAACCCAAAATGTAATTTTTTCAGTTGCCAGGGACAAAAATTACAATTAGGTAAAGCATGTCAGAGTAACAAGAAAATCTTCTCGAAACACCCACACATTAGGTGGGATAGGAATTTCAATGAGGGAGCATAATCAAATAACTGTACGTTATTGGAATATGATTTATATACAATTCTACAGGCGAGGAAAGAAAATTCTGTTAATGTTCATTATTTCTCTCTTTAGGCTGAAAATGAGTTCATGAAAGCTCAGAGCTCTGTCGATACCGCTTACCACCCCACACTGTGTGGCCATTATATGAACTGACGCATTTGAAAGTAATGGATTTCCAGGCTTGAATCAGACTTAAACAACACAGATATTTTATATCCCTGTCTCATTCAGGCAGCAGAACAAACAAAAACTTTCTTTTTTTTAATCAGGGGCTGGAATGGGGCGTATTTGTGGAATTCATTTGCATATGCAAATGATACCAAAGAGAGGTACTATTAGAGTTGAGGAACCTAAAAGGGCTGAAATCACAGCTGTCAGTCAATAACTTTCTAATCTCTCTGAGTGATAAAAAGCAAAAAAGACTTTGAAAAAAAAATTTCTGGACCAAGATTACGAACACCGCAGAGTTTGCGTTAAAGAAAACAGATACAAACACCAACAATGTGAAAGGATAAAGGTTTAATATCAGTCCTGGTGGGAGTTTAAATATAAGACTATTCAATTATGTTTTAATTTATTTTTGCATCTTTATTTTGTACCTCAATTTTAAGCCCCTTTTAGAATGCCAGCTGTGTGAACGCAAACACGACCTGGGATTGATGCCGGGTTGGGCACCTACTGCAGTAACATTGTCGTGTTCAGTCCCGGAATGCACACTATGTGAACGAAAGTTGTAATCAATAGCTTAAAGTAGATATAAAGATAAAGTAGCTTGTTAGGGAAAAGGTTGCACTTTGAAATTATTTCAAGTACTGTAGCGCTTTGAGAAATGTAGTAGCACTTCTGTAGAAATGCACAAAACATGCTGCAAGTACCAGAGGGCCTGTATATGAAAAGAGCAGAAGAGTTTAGAAGAAGAGTCAGTCTGCAGAGATGCTTATATTTCATAGCTGAATGCCAAAGGGCTGTATGGTGCAGGTCACAGTATATGCGTATGCGTTTGAATCTTTCTTGGTCAAAACTTTATGAAAAAAAAAAAAAAAAAACTTGTTTTTGTCTGAAGCATTGATCTTAAACTTTGAACTTCTGGGTCATTCAAGTAACCAGCAGCCTTCTGATGATAACGTCTTTGATACAATCCTTCTCTAATAGAGCAGACAGATTGAAGGGTTACTGACCTTTTTCCAAAGTTGGCTTCCTTCCTACGGCAGTGTAGAGTGACCACTCTGTGTCCCTCACTCCTGACGTCTTGACTAACTGTCCACTGAACCGGGTTACTGGCCCTCGCCCCCAGAAACGCCACACCATCCTTCAACTTGACTCTGTTAGAAACATCAAAAGGATCATACAGTATGGCCTATGTAATGTGTTTTTCGCTTTAAATAAAAGAAAAAATAAGTTTATAGATCATCTTTAATTTATTTATTATGTTGCTTTGTGCAAAAAACTGAATACATTTATATTACTTTAAAATATATATATATAACATCTACACTCTAAAAAATGCTGGGTTGTTTCAACCGAAATTTGGGTAAAATATGGACAAACCCAAATGTTGGGTTAAAAATGTAATTCAAAAAATTACAGTTGAAAGTGAAAGTTGAAGTTGGGTTAAAATTTTAAATTACATTTTTAACCCAACATTTGGGTTAGTACATATTTGACCCAAATTTGGGTTGAAACAAAAAAATATTTTCAAGATTTGTTATCACAACATTTTTTATTTTGTCAAATCAAATTAAATAATTTATTTAGCTCAGATAACTTATTATTTTGAGATTCTGATGATTAAATCAATCTCCTTCATTGTACTAACTCACTTTTTCTAGTTCAATCAACTTAAAATTTTAAGGCAACCAGGTTACTTATTTTTTTAAGTTAAACCAACAATATTTTTATAGTGTATATACCTTTATTGCATTTTCCATGACACACCTCTTGGAAACTGGATGATTAACAAAAAGTGTTTCCAGTTCTTGAACAGATTGCAGTTGTTTTGCCTCATGCATTATACAGACAAAGGGAGAGATTAACCAAAAGCTCATGTAATACACTGTAGGCTACAGATGTGCTTGTATAACCTCAAAATCAGTTTGAGTCATTGTGTTCTGCTTTCTTCACATACAATCATAATTGTATGTGCAACAAAAGATCTCTGTTTGGAAAAGGTTTAAGTCCATTATATGGAATATGATGCGATGCACCCCCCAAAAATAAATTCTGTCATTATTTACTCACTCTCATGGAACACAAAAGGTGAAAATGTCAATAATTCACTCTTTTGCCAGCAAATACAATGGGGACTGGAGATTTCAAAATTCAAAAAGGACACACCAGCATTATATAAGTGAGTATCATAATTGTAGTCCATTCCAATTGTGAACTATATTTAAAATCTTCTGAAGTCATTTGATAGCTTTGTGTGACTACAGTTCGAAATTTAAGATGATATTCAAATCGTGACCATGTGAACCAGATCAGCCAAATTACTGAAAAGATCCAAATTCAAAGAACACTTTATTTATAAAAGACACATAATTACATTTTTATGAATAAAAAAAATCTTGTAAACACTTGTTCTTCTCCTGATACAAATACAGCAGCAATTTCTTATGTCATGTCAAATTCAAACTTGAAATGTTTATTTATTTATATATTTGTGAGACATTAGCTTGGTGAAATTACAAGTATCATTAAATTGTTATAGTCTTTAGTCATTATTTTTGAATACATGTAAAACTGCTTAACTTGTTGAGATTTATAATTGATAATTCCATAGTTAAGGTAAAAATAACAAATATAATCTCTTTTTATATGCAGTAATGTTTAAACAGGAAAATGTGAAAATAAATGAATTTACATTTGCTATATACAGTATATACTTTGAAACTAACACAGTCTCATCCCAAGACGTCATACAATACTGTTTGAACGCTTTTGACCATCCGTCAACATCCGCCGTTTTATGGTACCCTTTAACGTCAGTTAGATGAAGATCCTGGGGCGTCATCCAACTGACGCTTTACCTTTAACGTCATTTGGGGTAGGTCTGGGGTAGGGTTAGGATTAGATAATGTCATCTAACCGACATTTAAGGGTACCCTAAAACGGCGGATGTTGACATATGGTCAAAAGCGTCAGTTGTCTTGGGATGAGACTGTGCTGTTGAAACTCAACAATCCGTCATCATTACCATTATATTGAAGAGAGCGGCCAGGATATTCTTGTTTCACAAAAGAGAAAAACAAAAACTTTCCCTTAATATCCCCTAGTGGGTGAACTATCCCTATTGTTTGCAGAGGTAATGTAAAAGGCACAATGTATCCTTGTGCATATCCCACGTCGTTCTAAAAAGTCCAACACCTGCATTCAGCCAATCAAAGAGAGGATGCTGAAGACGGGCTGCAGTGCAGTGCAATTCAAATGCAGAAAATAATGGAATTGATGTTATCGCCAAGACCCAGACCAAATGCAATTAGAAACAGTACTGACGATTATTTTTTTCTCCTTCCATATCTTTTTGTTTAGCTTTCTTTTCTATCTTTCTTTCCTCCATTTGTATCTAAAATAAAATAACCAATTAGCACATAAGGCCAAGTGTTGTAATATACTAACCTGTACACAATTCAGGAATGTGCTATTAAATGCTCCACTGTGGTAACAAATGTAATTGGAATCAAATTGGAGATTAGTTTGAATAAACAACACAACAACATCTTTCTATCCTTTTAAAATACCTCTTTAAGCACACTTTAAATTCTAAAGCACATTTAAAAAAAAATACATATGGCATGTCTTTATATTTAAAGGTCACTCTTTGCCTAAATTCACTAAATTCACCACTTCTGAAACATTTAGTGTGTATATTTTACATGGTAGTGCAAAAGACTGAAGCACGTGCACCTTCTATATTCTCAGTTTCCTTTTATGTATTTCCTGCTGCTAACATATAATTCGTAACGGATCATTTGTTAATACTCTTGTTTATCATTCAGATTGCTTATACAGTGAAGCGGTTTATTCGAAACATCATGTGTTTGGCGTTTGGGATATCTACTTGCTTAAAAACACATATTATGTTTTATAAAAGCAATATACATTTTGTTGACAAAGGATCAAATCCTGTTTCTCAGGAAAGACTTCAACTTCATTAAGATTCACTATGAATTGAATCAGCCTTAATCACATTTTTGATAGAAGAATGGAAGCCTGTATCACAAATAATACCATTAATCTTATTTTAAATACTTTTATAAACAGATGCATCAGCAGTTTTTATACTATTGAATGTGCGTTAAATGAGCTAAGCCTGCAAAATACAGTTTCTTGAGCATCAGCATATTAGAATGATTTCAGAAGGATCATGTGACTCTGAAGACTTGAGTAATGGCTGTTGAAAATTAAGCTCTGCCATCACCAGAATAAATTACATTATTTTAAAATATATCAAAATAAGCATTTTAAATTGTAATAATATTTCATATTATTACCTTTTTTCCCTAAATGTTGATCAAATATATAGCCTAGGCTATATTAGATAAGAGCCGTACTAGCATGACTGTAAACATACCAAGTCGGCTGCTGAACGACCCTTCAAAAAATGTCCCCTTCCCTTCAAAAAAGAATTCGCCCAAAAACTTAATTCATATACTCATCCAGCAGCGGTAAGCCAGCGTATAGATTGTTTCTGGTTAAACTGAACTGTGGGTGGTTAATGAATAAGATGCAGGTGTTTTTTTCACCCCTTTCTGTCCTTTCTGATATGTTCATGTAATACTTAATGTGCATAATGAAGATGATTTTGTTCTCAATTTAATTGTTTTTTGATTGATCAAAATGAAAATCCAATATACTCAACACAGAGACGTATTCAAAGAGACACAAATCTCTAATAGTTCATCTAAAAACCCACAAAAAGTGCTGTTGCAAGCAGCATGAGAAGGCATTGAGGGTTAATTAGGGAATGGAAGATTTAAATGAGATTGGTTTGGCTAATATGATTTCTGGAGCGCAATAAAGGCTGCAAAGCAATTTAAAGAGAGATGTTCTTTCCCTTCACATCAGCACATGGGTGCCAGCTCATTAATTCTAAAACAACCTGAGTATCAATTAAAGTAGTATTTACCAATGTGATAGAAGTGTCAGCGCTTGCGAGATGGCTGGAGAGCCAAGGAGCGGAGAGCAGAGGGAGATGGATTGTAATATCAGATAGAGGAGATCTGTCGAAATCCTGACAGTTCATCAACCCTGTGGCAGTTCTCCAAAATAACATGAGTAAATTCCCCAGATTTTCTGACATAATAAAAGTGAGGGATGCACATGCTCGGACGATTACGGTATTCGTCACAAATCACATTCCGTGACAGTTTTCGGAGCTAGGGTTGTGTGTTTCTCCTGTGTACAGGCTGCATTCAGCCTGCCTTGACTCTCCCTGCAGATGTCCGTGATCTATATTGACCGGGCTGATTAAATCAACATCGAGTAAGAATTGAGAAAGTAATTGTTTTTTCTTCCATGTTGTCCACTGAGATCAAGGATGGAATATCTGATTGTGGAGAAAGAGAGATCAGTTTGTAAGGGATAAATGTATAGTCATTACCACAAAATAATATCACAAAGGTATCTAGTGAGTGAGTAATTTGAATCAATCAACCGATTTGCCCACAAATGCTGATTCATTCATTAACGAAAAGCAGCATGTGACCAACTTTGAGAGCGAGTCATTGAATAATTCATTTCAACAGATTTGTTCAAAAATGTAGATTCAGGAACGAAACAAGTGAATGCTTTACTGAATAATTCACTCTTCTTTTTTTAACAAAACGCTGAATCATTCAGCACACTTCTCAAAGATGCACAATGGCTTTGATGTGGCTAACCAAAATTAGTTCTGTAGTTTGAGCAAAAACAGACAACCAGCAAGATTGTGTTTAAAAATGCAAAAACTCAATATTAACTTTTTTAACTGTTTTATAAACGCAATATGTTGACTCGTTATTCCAATAACTACAAAGTGAGTAGTTCCACACACAAGACGGTGTTTTGTTTTCTTCCCTTCTTACATACTTGTACATTGACGTGTTGAATACATTTGATTCTAACTGGTCCGATATGGCATAATATTGGCAAATATTAAAGTAATATCACATATTGCACACATATGACTTACCAATCAGAATCATGTATTCCAGAAATGCAGTGGAATAATATCTCAGTATACAGTATTTTCCCCGTATATCAGGATTGATTTAATCCTGCAGGAGTCTCGATAGACTGAGTAAGTAGTGAGCTTTTTGGCAAAATGCTCATCCCTAAAAAAGCT